GTAGCATTTATAGAAGTTAGCAACTGATTAATTTGGAAATCTTTATACACAATAAGTTCTGGATCGCTTAAGCTCAGGGATTGGATTCTGCCCAAAGATTGGTATCTACCTAGACTTCTAGGCACGTGACAAACCATGAGAACATTTTGGTGCCAACTGAGTGGCAATATTGAAAACTTTTTGTTTCTGTCGTGTTTATCCAAGACATTTAAGAATAAAATATTTTTTATATACTTCCAGATTATCTTCCTAAAAGTTCACTTCATTGTATATCCCCACCAGAAAAGTGTACCTCTGATCCCGTCCACATATTTTCAGGACCAAACATTACCAAGGAATTTATTTTTTCCTCAATCTGCCAGGCTGAAAATGAAATACTATTATAATGTTGGATTCACTGATCCCCTCGAAGTGAGTTTCAAATATTTGTATTTAGAAGTTCTTCATTCATGTTTTAGCTTAGTTAAAAATTTAGTTTTTCTCTCCTCAATGACAAATGGGAATTCTTTATGTATTGGTATATTTGCTTTGAATTCTTATTATTTGGAAATATCTCACCACACTCAAATGTGATGTTTGGCCTTTAAAACGTTATTGCAGTCATTCTTTTTCTTTTTTCTTCCTTCTTTTTTTTTTTTTTTTTTTTAACAAAGTCTCACTGTCACCCACGCTGGAGTGCAGGAGTCTGAGGGTGGTAGAAGGATGTCCTTCCACCCACTGCAACCTGCAACCTCCACCGCCCAGGCTCAGGATCCCCTACCTCGGTCCTAGAGTAGCTGGGACTACAGTGCATGCCGCCACGCTGGCTAATTTTGTATTTTTTTTTTTTTGTAGTGATGGGTTTCACTATGTTGCCCAGGCTGATTGAACTCCTGGACTCAAGCAATCCATGGTGTCTTGTGCTCCCCAAGTGAGGGGATTACAGGTATGACCACGGTGCCCAGATAGCAGTCTGATAACACAGAAGTCTTACATTTTACACAGTCAACCATAACTTTTTTCCTTTATGCCTTTAAATTTTATGTATACTTGACAAAGCTTTTCGACACTAAGATTATATAGATATTCTATAGTTTCATTCTGTGTATTATTATTCGCTCATAATTTGGATCTTTGTTCCATGTTAAAATTATTTTGTGTGTTAGAGTGAGTACAATACTAATTCAGGAAAACAATTTCCCAAATGAAAACTCAATCAACTCTCCTGCATGCCTTTGGTCAAAATCAGCCTCACGGATTTATGCCCCAATTCAATGTTTAATGGGATGCTAAGGCTAGATCGAATGCATTGTCAGAACATCTCTCTGTCTATCTGGGTGGGTAGAAAAAAGAATAATCTTATGTCCTTTTAACACACTTAATTTAGAATCAGTTATGAGCCCCCTATGTCTTAATCTCCACATTACCTAATACACTGCTCTGTGCATAGCAGTGATTAAACATATCTGTGGGCTTTAAAAAGGAGCTAGAAAAGGAATGTAAAGAAGAGTACAACACTATTTATGCCCTCAAAGTTAACCTAGTAGAATAAGATATACTTTATTCAACTATGTTTAGTTGAGTAAGAATGGCGAGAGAGGAACAAAATGAAGATACATTTGATACTTCGTTTTTTACCATCCTGACAAAGCATTTAGGATATTTACAGATAATATATGCAAACCATTCAGCCCAGTGTCTACACATAGTAGGCTTTCATGACTGGCAACTTGAAAATTATTTTCTATTATGTCAGGGGTTTAATAGAGGCAAAGACTTCTTTACCGTGGAATCTTCAAGTTTTTAAGATGAGATAGTTTCATGTAAAAAATAAGAACCTAAACACTCCACTAAATATTAAATTTTAAAACTATCGTATGGTTATTTACCACTACAGCTTTAAAAAAAAAAACCCTACATTGATACTCTCTTCCTAAAACTAGACATAAGTATTTCACACAAAAAAGATAAACATTAATGAGGTTGTTTGAAATTATATGTCTCTGCTCTTCAATCATAGCCTTCATCTATAAACTCTAAATTAAGACCAAAGCAGTAATGAAACTAATACATAAAATACTATAACTTTAATGTCATATGTTAGGATAAATCAATAGGAGGAATAAATCTGAAGTGGCAGAAATAACCACCTTTGACTTGCTTGGCATTTAAACCTTTCGGGCTTGGGGAATCACTGATGCGTACTTTAAGGGGATTTGATTTTATAGGCTCTTTAGCCCAAGAGGTTTTAGGAATACAGAAAGCGACGAAGCCTTGGAGATATGACAGGCATCAGGCTGTCACCGTGAAGCTGCCTGGCTTTTAAATGGCTTGTTCTCAAGTTTGAGTTCCATAATCCACTGGTAGAAAAGCTGTAGACTTGCTGGCAATGTGAGAGATGCTCAGAAGCCATTACCTTATAATAGAAATTGATAGATAAGTGGACGATGGAAGTTTAGACTCTGACCTAAAGGGAAATGGAGAATTGAATTGAGGTAATTATCTGTTAACTTGGACAAAATTAAAGTTCACCTTAAAAATGCCAGATCATTAATACCAAAGTGCAGATCCTCATTCACTTACATGATAAGGTGAAAAGAAGTTACTAAAATTGTCTAGCTTTATTTAAAACATTATAATTCATAATTTTTATTTAAACACATTTAAAATGTGCAGAAAGCTCGAGGACTGGGAAAATAGGAGAAAAGGTACACCTGAATATTATATTTAAATGAAAAATCTTCTTTTATTACTTTGCTTTTCCTAACTGGAATAAGAGAGGATGTATTTGCCTTTAGTATTCCGATCAAAGAAATGAGAAAGAAAAGATGGATGTAATAGAGGTCATCTCAAATTAAATCTTTTTACTCTTCAATCATAGCCTGTGTCTATTATATTCTAAATTAGGACAAAAGCAAAGACCAAACTAATTTATGAAATTCTATGGCTTTAAATAGCTTATGTTCAATAAATTAACATAGAGAAGCATATGCTGTGGAATTAGCTAAAATCTATTATCATTGATAAAAAATTTCTACCTTCAAGTCTTAGGCACAGTTGCTAAATAATTGCTACTTATTGATCTCTGGGAGGAAACTGGGTCCCATTGGAAGCCGAATTCCTGATCAGTGCTAGTTCATGATCACTACATCAACCAGGTCTGACTTAAACAAGTAACTGTATGACAGTCTACCAAAAGGCAGTGTTAAGAGGCATTCAAAACCCCACTTAGGAAACAATGCAACGTTAGGCGACAGTCTACTCCCTCAAAGAGCATCCAGTAAAGGTCTTTCTATTCAGCAGCTTTGCGGGGTATGGGGTAAAGCTTGAGGGTGGGAAATAAAACTAGACTGAGTAGTAATAACTCTCCCCTCTAAGTCAATCTTCTCTGCATGAGGCTTCTAGGGCACCTTATTTTCAAATCAGATTAAATCAGGCATGTAAGTAGGGAAACGTAGGCACAAAGCCAACTAATCAAGCTAAAAGATATGATTTGAATTTAATTATCTATGCATTTTAGAGCAAAATATAATTTAGCAAAGAAAAAAAAGCAACATTTGAAAAGCTATCTCATTTATTCATCCCACATTGTGAGTGCAGATACAATATTTGAAACTGATATTCTCTAAGAGTATTTAAAAAGATTAGTAACTGGGATGTGTTTCTGTAGTATATTTTCTGATTTTAAAAAATTAAAATGCTTTAAAATTTTACTTGGGATAATTCAAAATGAACGACATGGAATTTTAACAGCAATTTATGCATTATGATTTAAAAAGTCAGAGACTTCAAACTGTGTCACAATAAATTGTTCTCATGCACGGCTACATGGTTATTCCTTTATTCTTTTAGTAGTTTTCTAAATATATTCTCTGGATTATTTACATAAATTGTGCTTTTTTTTTTTTTTTTTTTTTTTTTTGAGAAGGAGTCTTGCTCTGTTGCCCAGGCTGGAGTGCAGTGGCACAATCTCAGCTACTACAATCACCACCTCCCGGTTCACGCCATTCTCCTGCCTCAGCCTCCTGAGTAGCTGGGACTACAGGCACACACCACCACACCTGGCTAATTTTTGTATTTTTAGTAGAGATGGGTTTCACCTTTTTAGCCAGGATTGTCTCAGTCTCCTGACCTTGTGATCCGCCCACCTCAGCTTCCCAAAGTGCTGGGATTACAGGCATGAGCCACTGTGCCAGGCCAAATTTTGCTTTTTAATTCAAATGTTCCATAATGTATCTTCTTGATTTTAGAGAATTTTATCTGTAGAATTTATAAAGGCATGAATTCATTTGCACAATTACTTGACAAATGTTACTGAATGCCTGTTGGAGTCATGCAGAATGCTAAGTACTAGCATTTGCAATGGGGGCTTAAATGGGCACTGTTTGTGGACTCACGCAGATAAAGTCCAGTAGGGGGAAGATACTGCAAAAATCACCACACAAATGAATGAAGATTTAAAATTTAAAGTAACTGCTATGAAGGAAAACCATATGATTCAATTAACATGTGAAAAAATGTCACATCATAGGAATTAGTTATAAATCTGAGTAAAATGTTCATTTATTAGTGTCAAGCACCACGATATTCCTGTCTGGTTTTATAGATAAAGATTTTGTCCTAAGAAATAAGAGGAAATTGTTACAAAACCTAGAATGAATTGCAGACAAGATATGCACAATGTAGAAATACTTTCCCTGCCCTCCTCACCAAACGAACATTTTTATAATGTTTGTGAAGTAGGAAGAGAGGACGTCAGAAAGCACAGAAAGAAGAAAATATATCGGTATGCTAAAAATGTTTCCTTCCATCTAGTAGACAAATTGCTTCTAAAAGAGTCAGGATTCAGTTCAGGTTGTGTTTTGTTTTTGTTTTTAACCCAAGTGGGCAAAAATAGTTTTCAACATACCACTTGTAGAAAACTCTAATTTAAATGTGGTGCATGACCATTGAATATATGCTTATTTTAAAATGCTTTCCAGTGATTGATAAAGGTGTATGGTGCTATCTTTGTCCTGTTCCAGAGATTATGTGGTTATGTCTGTCTACTTTGATCTGAGCAGAAGAATGGGATACTTTACCATCCAGACCTATATCCCCTGCACACTCATTGTCGTCCTATCCTGGGTGTCTTTCTGGATCAATAAGGATGCTGTTCCAGCCAGAACATCTTTAGGTGAGACACCTTTGTTTATGTTGCAGTTTCTCAAGATAAGTGGCAAATACAAGTAATTTTTACTTCCATTCTATGTTGATCTGCTTTCAATTTAGCCTGCAATTGCATAGAATACCATTAGTTTCATGTTCAAGAGAATTGGCGTTTTTAAAGCAGTGTTTAAGGTTTCCTACTTTTGCAGTTTGATTCTCCTTAGTTACCTGGATAGGTTTCTTGGGTAACTTTTCTTAAACATTTAGTTAACTAGTTTTTAAAGCTGTTTTAATATGAACAGATGTGTTTGTTTAGGTCTCTGGGTCATATGCTGAAGCTGCTTGCACCAGCTAGTGAAAGCTGATTGTGTTTCTCTCTTCCCAACTTGGTATTCGGTGATGTCACACTAATAATGTGAAATCAGCAAGGAGGACATATTAAGAACATGGAAACAGTAAAAATCAGGGCCTTCTATTTCTAGAGTTAATTGTTACACATTTACCGGCACACCTTTGACTTTGGCTATTTGCCACATGAGTAATTATTGGGATAACATTTGAAGTAATTGGCTCTTTACAGAAGAGCCATGGAAAAAAATATTTTGAGAAAATATATTTACCTGTGAAATTTGGGGAGAGAAAGCGACTCTTAAGATTATTTGCAATTTGCTCAATCTAATATATATGGCCATCTTTGTCTTGAATTTTCACATCTTTTTCTTCCCGTGGGGAAGAAGACTCACACAGACTAAAACAAAGCCCAACACGTGAAACTTTTTAAAACCTGAACTGAAACTAAAGCTTGTGAGAGGTGAATAAAATTCAACACCCTTTCATCAGCTATGTAAAACCTAGAACCACATCTCTTGCTGACTGTCTAAAGAGTCAGTAGGGTGTGATAGCTAGGAAATTGGGTTTTGAAGTCCCACAAATATGGGTTTGACATCCCACATTTAGTATAACATTAGAATGTCATTTAATCTCTAATTCACAGTTTCCTCATATATAAAACATGTATAATTTCCTGCACCTAACTTATTGGATTCTACTAGGGTTAAATAAAGTATTTGATGCAAATTGCACATAACAAAGTAAAGCCTCAGAAATGTTGGCTACTATAATCATTTCTGACAAAATGGTCTGTACTAAGTTATTAAGCTGAGGCAGAAGTGATTAGTGGGGGAAAAAGACATCATTTGCATATCTGTCCTCTTCCAAACCTAATTTAGTTTCCCATCTGTTTCAAAGAAAGTTATTTTGATTTTTCCTGTTATATGTGGTACTTTGTGTTACAAGTACTTCTCAAAATTAAAATATCTTGTCTAATGCTACATGCTGAAACAAACCGCAAATATGTTGAGCCTATTACTTTAGGACTCTTACTCGTCACTGTGAATGGATATATACTGCATTACATGCTTCTATGTCTCTCGTCAGAATGTCAGTCTTGTACATCTCTAGTACAGTGCCTGGAACATGACTGGTACCTCAAATAATTGTTCAATTAATGTATACACTTATGAATGGATGGAGCAAATACATTGACATATTCCAATCCACCCACTTCCCAAAAACATTTTAAGGATGAGATTTCCAATCAGTCTCTCCTCTTGAAGCCTGGATTCTTGCTGGCCAAAATCTCTCTCATGACTCTTTGGGTAGCTCATTTAACCCACTCAGTAAATGAGTATTCACTGGCAAAGGGTTATGGTGGAAGAAAGGATCAAAGTGAGTGAGTTTTGGAATGAGCGAGAGGCCCTTGAGCAAACAGCAGACAAGTACTTCTGTTTGTTTATAATTTGTAAGTCAGGAATGCTCAATATTGTCTCTATGTCTTTTCTATTCTTCACAACACCTGCATGTAGAAGTTGCTGTAATGATCATTATTAACACAATGTTTAGAGCTGAGCTAAGGAAGCAGAGTTGTTGCAAGGTTTGATGACATACACAAAGTCACAACATAAGGAAACAGTAGATCTGCACCTCAGCTGATGGGACATAGGTTTGCTCTGGGTAGGAGGCCTTGTTAAAGGCCAATTGTAGGTACAGATGAGAAGTGGAGCTGAGCCAGTTTCTCTATTTTAACTTTGCTGTCACTTTTCTAGATCAGTGCTCCTTAAATTTAATTGCACATTTAAGTCACTAGAGGACTTTTTGAAGTGCAGATGCCTTAGTTCAACCCCAAGAAATGCTTATCTAATGTGTTTAGAACATGACTTAGGTGTTAAGATTGAAAAACAAGCAAACAAAATATCTCCAGGTGATGCAAATGTGCAGTCACCTTTTATAACCCTGCTCTAGATTTCACTGAGTCCCATTACTTTTTCCAATGTTTACAATCCAGAGTTAAATGAGATGACCTTAAGCACATGCAGACCTTAAGCTTCTTGCCACAGAACAGTTAGGCCATGTTGTTTGATGAGCGAGATGGATTTATCCACGTGACTCAGAGATAGTGGTGTTTTCTGAGCACAGAGTCCTAGAGTATGGGTAGCCATCATTTTGGAGCATATAAAAGTGAATGTAGTTTGGTTCCCAGGTGGTAGTTGGTGAGTTGTATTTCTGGTGTACTGACAATGAATGAAATGAAAATACCATTTGGTATTTTTCACCCAACTGATTTGAGGTGAGGTAACATCCTTGAAGAGCTTACTTCATGCCAAGAATGGAGGAACTGGTAAAAGCTATGGATATATTTCATCTACACCAGGTAAGAGAAGTCTAACTTATTTACTTATCAGAATGGAAGCAGTCTTATTGTTGGCTGAGGAGCCAATATAAACCATCCCTGCTCTGCCTCTCACTATTGATGTCGCCGCAGTCTCTTTCCTGTGACTCCAGGCAGAGCCCTGAAAAATATCCTGAGGAATTTGTTCAAGAGTCTACTTCTACATGGCTGTGATGAATGTCTGTGTAGCCTAAATAACATTTCCCAATTTGCTGGATCAGTATTTAACTTGCATGTCAGAATTGTTTCTTCCAAATTATCACATGCCACATTTAAAAAAAATTAACTCATCTATAGTACCTACCATAAATACTGACATTTTCACTTGTCAAGGGTCAAGTGTGGCCTCAGGCCTGATTATAAAATGAAGGCCACAGGGCCAATTTAGTTTTTCAGTCCTCTGCAAAAATATCAGTTGTGATTAGGTACAATGAGGAACTTACATGAATTAATGCATAGACAACCTAATTAAATGTTTTTTAGTTTAAGAAATAGAACTTTCTTTCCTAAAATAAATACTATCAAAACCTAATATTTATTGGGATTTTACTAGGTATTGGTACCTTACACACATTTTTAAATTTAATCTTCACAAGAGACTTATAAGGTTCCCCATTATTATCACCACCACTCCAGTTGTAGATGAGGATCTCAAACCTCCCTAAGGTTCTACCATGACAACATGGAAGATGCCAGACCCATAGCACCTCCCCAGTCGGGAATCTACAATAGGTCCCATCTGTCTGGCGTTTCATTCCACGTATTTTTCATGTATTATGGAGCTAAAATACTGTGGTTCAGAGCACAGCATTTGATGTCGGGCTGCCTAGGTTTGTTTCTCATCTCTACCACTTTCTATCTTGAACAAATTTTTATTCTTCCAGTGCTCAGTGTTTGTTACCTGTAATAATAATAATAATAATACTTACATTATAGGAATCATTATGAGGATCTTGTGAGACAATAGAAAGTGCTTGACACAGTACCTGGCCAAAGGAAAAGATCAATAAATCTTAACTACTGTTCTTTGCAATCAAAAATATCTCCCAAAAGTCATAATTATGGATCCTATTATCAAATGTAGATTGAGCACCTTTTGATCTTTCATGTATATACTATGCATGATTCATTGTTCACACATTCACTGAACAAACATTTATTGAGTCCCAGCATGATGCTCCACTGCATAAGACAGATTCTGTTGTCATAGAGTATACAGACTAGAAAGGGAGAATGGTTATTACATAATCAGTAACAGTATAGAAAAGAGCCGACGGTATTTATAAACGTAGTTCACTTGATCACCTCTTTCCTCTATTAAAGGCTACCCTTCCTCTATTGTTATTTCAACCAACACTAGTCTTTCCACTCTCTGGAATTTCATAACACAGTATGTATTTAGGAAACTTTCATATTAAGTTACACTTAAATGACCTAAGAGAACCACATGGTTCTTGGAAATGTAGCTAAACCCTTCAAAAATGGCTCAAAGATTTGAACAATTAGGAAGATAACAGCAATTTTATTTCCTCTTATCCTTTCTTCAAGAGTGTTTTTGCTTTCTCAGTTTTCTTCTAAGCATATTCTACTAATACCTACTTATTAGAGAGTAAAAGCTTTACCTCTTTTCCTGTATGACACTGGTGCTTTTCTCAGTATCTTCCTCTTCTCTTACCCTCCAAGTCTACCTCTTTCTTTCTTTTCTTCTTCCTTTCTTTCTTCTTCCTTCCTTTCTTTCTTTCCTTCTTTCCCTTCTTTCTTTTCTTTCTTTCTTTTCCTTTCTTTCTTTCTTTCTTTCATCTCTCTCCCTTCTCTCTCTCTTTCTTCTTTCTTCTTTCTTCTCTTTCTTTCTTTCCTTTTCTCTCTTTCTTCGTCTTTCTCTTCTTTCTCTTCGTTCTTTCTCTTTCTCTTCTTTCTCTTCTTTTCTCTTCTTTCTCCTTCCTCCTTCCTTTCCTCTTCCTTCCTTCCTTCCTTCCTTCCTTCCTCCTTCCTTCCTTCCTTCTTTCTTTCTTTTTTCACAGAGGCTGGAGTGCAATGCCACGATTTCAGCTTACTGCCAATCCCCGCCTCCCAGGTTCAATGATTCTCCTGCCTCAGCCTCCCGAGTAGCTGGGATTACAGGCACCCGCCACCACAGCCCTGATAATTTTTTGTATTTTTAGTAAAGACGAGGTTTCACCATGTTGGCCAGGCTGGTCTCGAACTCTTGACCTCATGATCTGCCCACTTCGACTCTCAAAGTACTGGGAATTTCAGGTGTGAGCCATCATGCCTGGCCCGACCTGTTTCTTTTGAAGTTTCCCAGCACTTCCATTGACACAGGAGAATCTGACTGTCCCCTAGAAGTCTCTTGGGTTAGCAGTAATAGTCATGATTGCACATCATTAAATGATGCAAACGTTATTTTCCTTTCTGTCCCCCATAAGAAATATAAATAACAAAATCTGGTAAAGGTGTGGGATTATTGCTTTTAGAGTGCAAAAAGATGCTTCCACTCAGGATTAGAAATACCAAACTAGAATCGTAGAATGGTAAGCTAGGTGGACCTTCAAAGAGTTAGTACCACAGATGAGAAAACTGAGGCCTAGAGTGTTAAGATGACTTAAGTTCCTATAGCAAGAGCTAGAACCTATTTGAATATTGAATCCATGTTGCCTTTAGTATAAATAACACAACTTTTACATAGGATATCTCCTCATCCTTCTGATAAGTATAGGTTGTCTTGACATTGTTCCCTGTCACTAAACAATCATGGAGAGGACAGGTTTGGATAGGTGCTGTTGTATAATTAGTAAAGTAAGAGCTTTGAAATCAGACATGTAATTTCTGTGTTCAGTTCTGTCTGCTACTTACCAACTATTGGATGAGGTACTGGTTCTTTAGTCTTGTTCTTCTGATCTACACATTCAGAAAGAAAATACCTGCTGTGAAGATTCAAAGGAACAATGTATACGAAGTGCTTATCACTGCGCTTGTCAGAAGGAAGTTTTCAGTAAATATTACTTATTATGTTACTTCTGAGATACTTATTTTAATCCTATAATAATCTAAAAAGAATCCATCAATCAGAGCATGCCACTTACACATAACCCACCTCCTCTATTTAACATCTTTGAATAATTTTTCCTTGCACTTGGAACAAAATGTAAACTGTCTGCATGTGCCACATTTTATAACTTCCTTTTTACCAAAATAATCTTAAGCCCCTTGTCCCTCCCCAGGTGCCAGGTCTTCTAAAAATTTAAAAAACAGACAAGATTTCTCTTTCTCAGAACCCTCCCTTAATCAAATAATAATCAAAAGGTTAGTTTCTTCTTACATTTTAAGCTTTACTTTAAACATCAGCTCCTCAAAAAGGTCTTCTCTGAGCCTTCCATCTAACTAGATTCTCACCATCCCTGTATTCTCCATGGCACATACCATAATGTGACATTATACTTTTCTTTGCTGACATGATTCACAGTATATCTCTCTCACTAAAATATAAGTTACATAAAGGTCAGACCAAATCTAGTCATCAGTGTTTGTCATTTCAGCTGATACATAGTAGACAGGCAATAAATATTTGTAAATAGAGTGAATTAATTCCACTTATATCTCCTTTCCCATTGTTGAAACTGCCCATCAGAAGTCATGAAACAAGTGTAGTTTCATGAGTGACTCAGTTACCCAGCTTGCTTATGCAATCACATGACCTGATTTATTGTACCTCTCTTCAGGTATCACCACTGTCCTGACAATGACCACCCTCAGCACCATCGCCCGGAAATCGCTCCCCAAGGTCTCCTATGTCACAGCGATGGATCTCTTTGTATCTGTTTGTTTCATCTTTGTCTTCTCTGCTTTGGTGGAGTATGGCACCTTGCATTATTTTGTCAGCAACCGGAAACCAAGCAAGGACAAAGATAAAAAGAAGAAAAATCCTGTATGTATCATTTCCCATTGGGACCATTGAAATTTTTATGATTTTGGTTTAGTTTGTTTTCATTAGCCTATCTGCAGGCTAAGGCTCAGCAATGGGGCTCCAAGATGAAAACAGAATGTATGAGTTTGGCCAGGCCATAATGATTCATTTATGGTCATTAGTCACTTGAGGAGACTCAAGTCTGTTTCTATTTTTCTCTCTCTGTCAGAATTTTTATGCAAATATAGTTACCTGCTCTCTTTATTTTGTGGAGACTAAAGCCATTGTTGAGAAATGCAACCTTCTTCTAGTTGCTATTATTCCATTTCACTGATTTTTTGAGATCGGTGTATCGCTCTGTCGCCCAGGCTGGAATGCAGTGGCAGGATCTCGGCTTACTGCAACCTCTGCCTCCTGGGTTCAAGCAATTCTCCTGCCTCAGCTTCCCGAGTATCTGGGACTATAGGCGCACGCCACCACGCCTAGCTAATTTTTATATTTTTAGCAGAGACAGGATTTCACCATATTGGTCAGGCTGGTCTGTAACTCCTGACCTCAGGTGATCCACCTGCCTCAGCCCCAAAAGTGCTGGGATTAGAGGCGTGAGCCACTGTGCCTGGCCATGATAATAATTAAATTACTGATGTTTTAAATTAAAACTTCCATCTAAGGCATTCCACTAGGAAGCTATAAGGTCCTTGAAGTTCAAGGGTGACTATATTTTTGCAAATGATTTAGTGTATGTGTGGAGGTGGAGTTTGTGTATTGTCACTAGAGAATTTCTATTTGTTTCATTCTGAAAGGTATCTTTTTGTTTTTAAAACAAGTGATCTACTATTATATGGGCAAGTTAGTTAGCCTATTTGTGTGTGTGTATATATATATATATAAATATAAATAATTTAAAAACACTTGTGGGACTGCTATGAGAAATAAATGTGACAATGAAGGGCAGAAAAA